AACAGTGCAACTAAAAATGGTTTTATATTTTATAAGTAATAGTTGACCAGTTAAATGTGGCGTTCACATCGAACAGTTGCACAATTTTGTGTCGTGCGATTCGAGCTCATGACGAGTATATTCGTAAAACACAGAGAAAGTTACGATGATAAGATTTCGGATAAAACATATGGGTTTCATTCACAAAATTGGAACATTTTATTACAATGTTTTATTTTTATATTTTTGTTTAAATAGCTAAATATTAATTCTTATTAATTAAATACATTATTTACACATTTCGGGAAAATTATGCAACTTGCCTTAAGGTAAATGCAATGTAACACTACTTACTAACTTTCCGCAGTAAGTTATTGTAATCGTCCGAAAATCGAAATTGAAAATTTTCACATTTCTTCACGTTTTGAAGGTTTCTAAACATTTTGGCATACCTCAGAAAAAAATGGATGTTTTTTTTCAGGCGCACGGATCAACCGATTTGAATGGTTCAAAAAACATTCGATTCCTAATGATAGGGAGATGTGCTGGTTAGTTTTTAGCAAAGGCAGGTCCAGCCGTTTTGGAGATACCGAGTTAAATGTGCAAAAAATAGCAGTTTTTGAGAGAGCAAAGCATTTGATTTGAATGATTCACAAAACTTTCTGCTTGTTTTGACAAAAAAATTGGTTTTGAAAAAAAAATTTTTTTTTAATTTTTTCCCAATTTTTTTTTTGTATATCGAAAATAATTCAGACTTTAATTTTAATCCTGGCTGAAATTCTAAAGCTCACTTATATACTTTAAATAAATAATTTTAAATTTGTAATTCATCAGTTTATATAACTCTTATGATTATTAGACAATGTTACAGTACGGTACGAGAAGTTCCAGCAATTTGCCTTAAGGCACGATACCATACACAACTAGTATGATGAGTAATAAAATATTGAAATAACTTGGCACTTCAGACCATATTTCGTTTTTTTTTAAATCTCTATTTCACTGCCACTTCTCCATGACGAGTATATTCGTCAATCACACTTGACTGGTTCAGTTTATTGGTGCTAATAATAAGATGGTATAGACTTGAAAGGTTGATGTGATCTTAATTAATACATCAATAATTAATCTTTTGCAGTTCACATTATATCATTTTCGAAAATTACTTTTAGCTTTTGTTACCTTTAAGCATTCTGTAAAAGATGGATACGGAGGCACGACCCTCGTGCACTTTTTGCGAATAATCTTCCTTTCGCACTTCTTTCGATTACTCAGAGCTTTGCAGCCAGGCATTCGGACACGAAGGCATTCTTTCTTTGGGTGTTTACCTATTTAGCAAATTTTATGTATATATTTATCATAAAACAATTTATGATATAGAAAATGAAAAAAGTAAATTCATAAAATCTATAATTTTACTACTTCTACTCGACAGTTTCCAACCTGTGGAGCCTCACGAGGACCAAAATGTCATTATCGAAAAAAAAAAAATTAAAAAAATAAAGTGATATAAAAAATAAACAAAAAATTTGGACCACTGCATTGCTTGAATTTGCAAAATTTTTAATAGTTTTGTCAAAATGTTTGCAATGCCAAAGTCGGCCTTGCAAAATCTCGATCTCTTTTGCGGTGCCACAGGGATGGTGAATCCAGTCCCCCTACCAAAATGAAAGAAAAAAAGCAAGAAGGAAAAAATGGCAGCCATTTTTAAAAAAAAGTGTTAAAGAAGGCATTGTTATATTGCGTTATGTTATCAAGTTGGTTGAGGTAGGGGGACTAGGTATTGCAGTGGTGAACAAATTAAAAAAATGCAAGTCGATCCGACTTGTAGTTTTTTTTTAATTTGTGGCACCGCATTGAAAAAAGTCATTTTGAGAAAAACTTATTTAAAGTTTTTAATATGATGTACTAAATACACCATTTAATTTAATGTACTAAATACAGCATGGTGTTAAAAAATGATCATTATTAAAAAGGTCATGTGCATGAGGTATTATAATGAAAAAGAGAGCAGCTGGCATACAATAGCTCGCGGAGCGATGAAAAAACTGTTTTAGAGGATTATACATATAGAGATATATATACGAGTATATCTATAACTTCGTCAAAAAAATAGATATTGATATGATTTTTTTTTTAAATAATTCTAAGGTTTTTAGCTTTCATAATATCAAAAAATCTCCAAATCGAAAAAAAAACAAATAAAAACTGAACAACCCCCTTAATACAAGAAAAAGTTTTAGAGATATATAACGTTTTGGTTACGAGAGTGCTTCCCGCAAGAGTGACACGCTTCTCCACGTGCCAGTAAGCCAGTATTTGTTACACAAAATAATTTTTAATATTTTTTGAGCATCATCAATAAAAATGTATTTATCGACAATCATACACACAGGTCGTCAAGTGGATGTCGCCTATAGACGACACTCGTAGCGAAAGGGTTAAACTCAAATATTTAGTTCCTCACCTTTTCGATGTTTACGTCTGGGAGCCAACTGATTAGTCACCATCGGTTTGCGACGTCCACAAAGAATGTATCGCATCTTTCTAGAGAATTTCTTCCAGTACGCCTTCTTTTCCTATTCAAGTAATAATTAATCATATATAATAAATTATAAAATTAATCGTGAGAATAAAATTAATGCTGAAAGTAATGATGTTAGAACCACTTTCTCAATCTATTTTAAACTTGTTACAAAATTTCGTTGTAACATTAACAGTTTGTTATAAAATTCGACAAAATACATTTCTAAGAGATTCTCTTTTTAGCTATATTTGCTATCTAAAAGCTTTTAGTAATTATAATTTACACACAAAATTTATCTTTTTTTAAAAAAAATATGTGATGATATTGTAAAACTTTATTATTTTGTACAGAAATGTATGTCCATGATCATGAATCAAATAATGTTCAAATAGTTAGTGCTTCGGATAATTTATATAAATTATTGCACTTATTTACTTCGTATTTTTTATATTGCTAATGAATAATATTTTTTATTATTATTCTTTAGCAATAGATCAGCAATTAGAATTTAAAAGTTCTATGAGATATTTGGATAATATGACTTCACCAACTACGTCGGTCACAGTTCGATTGTAGCAGCCGAGCGATTCACATCGAATAAATAAATCGTAAATAATTGCATAATGTCTTCCGAGTCGGATGGTCAGTGCGGCCGACCACCTGACCCAAACCTTTTTACCTGCCGCTCTGCGATTGGAGAGTCAACAGCAGATGCAAGAAACACTAGCTTAAATAGATTGAGTGACATGGATTTTTGTGATACTGAAAGTGTAATTAGTGTAGAAAATGAATCAGTTAGTAGTTGTGATTTGAACATTAAGAATAGTGTTAATGTTAATTATAAATATAATATCAACGATGTAAGTGCAGATAGTAATAAAAGGGAAAAGTTAGAACAAAAGGAAAACAAAGGGGAAAACAGTAATTTAGCGTCAAATAATAGTGATACAACAATGGAAATAACAAAAGATCTAATAAGTGATAACAATATAAACGATCAAAATAAATCAGATGAAAGAGTTAATCCATTAAATAATTTGATACGTTTCGAAGGTTGCGATATGGGCCCTTACACTATATTTGTTGAATCCAAGGACAAAAATATAGGCCGACTACACCCGATGGCCTTGGGAAAAATCATACATAATGCAGGGGCATATTTCAAATTTGGTTTGACAGAAGTTTCGGTTATAGGAAAAAATAAAGTAAAGATGGAATTTAAAAGCGCCAGGGTGGCGAACAAAATTCTAGATGACAAAATTTTAGAAAAAAATAATCTGAAGGCATACATCCCAAAATACCTACTTGCAAGGCATGGCATAATATTTGATGTGGATGCGAATCTCTCAGAACAAGAAATTATAAACGCCATTGAAACAGACATTCCGGTTATAGACGTGGTATGTTTAAGACCGAAAAATAATAATACAATAAAATACTCATCACAATGTGTCAAATTAACGTTTAGGGGCACAAGTTTACCGAATAAGGTAGCTATACATTCGGTAAAATGTGAGGTTCGACCGTTTGTACAGAAAGTGGTCCAATGCTACAAATGCTGTCGGTTCAATCACGTTAAGGACCAATGTAGAGGAAAAGAGAGATGTATGAAATGTTCCGGAGAACATAATGCGAAAATATGTATAGCATCCAAATTTCTATGTGCGTTGTGCAATGGGGATCACCCTGCAAATGATAAAGAATGCACGGTATTTATTAAAAATAAAAAAATTAAAGAAATTATGGCTTGGCAGAATCTAGCATACCATGAAGCCAGAAATATATTATATAAAGACAGCTATGCAAACAAGTCAAAAGCCGGATTCAGTTTCACGGGCAAAGATAAAGAATTTCCAGGTTTGTATGCAAAACCTGCATCTAGTACAGACAGCAAGATAACTAAAAATAGGTTCGACGCCCTTTCTGATTTAGAGGAGGAGGAGCAACCGGAATTTTTAAATCCGACAACCTTTCATAAACCTAAAAGAGCGACTTACAAAATTACCAAAAGCAATACTCCATTCAATTCTGGATCCTCAATAAAAAAACAGTCAGTGAAGGAACCTGTATCAAATAGAAATAACAAAACCGAATTTAACCTCAACCCAAGAAAAAGGTTAAAACCGAGCGTGGAACGTGAATCTGCAATAGTCGAAAATAATAGCAATGTTCAACAAGATGGTTCATTAAATTTCTTAAACGAATTCATTGAAAAAATTAAACATATATACATTCCTAGTAGCGCTGAACATTATAACCTGTTGTCAGAAATACTAAACAAAATGATGAGGTCCAAAGTTGGACCCGACAAACAAGTTTGATTTGGCTGTGAGCACAGTATATTACGTATGGAAGCTTAAAATTATTTAGTGATAATAACTTAAAAAAAAAATAATAATAATAATAATGCTAAAAATTATTCAAATCAATATCAGATCTGTTTTTTCAAATAAGCTGCATCTAGAATCCTATTTAAACACCAACCATATAGATATCGTAATATTATCTGAAACATGGCTCAAAGATAATAATAGATTTCAGATATCTGGATACGCCTTTATATCAAAGAATAGGGAAGATGGTTATGGAGGAGTTGGAATACTTATCCACCGAAGATACCAATTTCAGACGTTAAATTTAAACAGTTTCATTACCAATAAAATTCAGATTTGTGGAATTAAGCTGGCCATACATAACATAACACTTAATATTGTGGCGATTTATTGTGCCCCCGGGCACAAGACAGGAACGGAATATTGGGTGTCGCTATTCCAGGAACTAAATCAACCGTTAATACTAGCAGGGGACTGTAATGCTCACCACATAAGTTTTGGAGGGTTAAAAAACAATAATGCAGGCATAAATCTTAGTGAAGCCATAAACTCAGAGGGTTTATGTCTTATGAATGACGGAACACCTACAATGATAAGAAGACACGATAGGAATCCTTCCGCGGTAGACTTAACAATATGCAGCCCATCAGTGATGATTAGGGCTGAATGGAGTGTATTAAATGAAACTCTAGGGTCTGATCATTTAGCAATTAGTATTAATGTTAAATTAGGCAATGATAATAAGTTTAAATACAATCATAGTCCAGTAAACAGATATCGGTGGAAAATTAAAGATGCAGATTGGTCAGGTTATGCGCAAACTGTAGACAGAATGTTGTCGAATACTAATCTCAACTCTAATCCGATGATTTCCTATTCCAAGTTTATTGAATGCATTAATAATGCAGCACTAATGAATATTCCAAAAACAAATCCGTATTTGGGTACGAAATATAGAAATAAATCAAATCCTTGGTGGGACGAGGAGTGCAACAAAGTGAAGAAAATAAAATCGGAAGCAATTAAGAAATACAAAGAAATACCAAACATAGACAATTATATAAAATACAAGCGAGCGGTAGCTAAGTGTCGATTTGTATTTAAAAAGAAAAAATACGATAAATGGACAGAGTTTTGTAACTCTTTCTCCAGAGACATGTCTTCACAACAAATCTGGCACCATATAAAGGTCATGAAAAATGGAGCCACTCGAACCAATGCATTTCCTAATAACTTAGCTGATCAGTTTCTTAACTCACTTACTCCGGATACGGTAATTAATGACGTCAACATACAGGACATGAAAAAAATGACGAATTAGAAGGTCCCTTTACCATTGATGAATTACATTTGGCACTAAAAAGGAATAGTAATACTGCGCCGGGTAATGACAATATACATTACCCCATGCTAAGTAACCTATCAGATAAGGGAAAAAAAATTCTACTGAAGGTCTTCAACGACATCTGGACTAAAGAGATTGCTGTAAAAGACTGGAGGACATATATCACAATACCAGTTCTAAAGCCTAATAAGGATGCAACAAAAATAGAATCATATCGGCCGATTTCTCTAGCGTCATGTATGTCCAAAACATTCGAACGCTTAATGAAAAGAAGAATCGAGTGGTGGCTCGAGAATAAGAAGAAATTGCCAAGTTACATGCAAGGTTTCAGAAACAAAAGAGGCACGTATGATGTTCTAACTAGTTTCGTCTATGAAATTCACAACAACCTGGCCAAGAAAAATTGTGTATTGACTATCAACTTGGATTTGGAGAACGCATACAACAGGGTTCAAATACCGATTTTAATAAACATTCTATATGAATTAAAACTCCCTAAGAGATTTATTGTTCACATTTATCACTTATTGAAAGATCGAAAATTAGTCCTCAGATGTAAAGATACACATTATGGGCCACGGTATATGTCGGAAGGCTTACCTCAGGGTTCTGTCCTTAGTCCCTTGTTGTTCAACGTATACACGGCACACCTTCAAAATGAGATTGGCCAGGACGCTCGGATCATGCAATATGCAGATGATCTAATATTATCACATAGTGGAGTGTCATTAAATGATGTGATCAAAAAAATGGATCAGACCATGACGTCATTTGGAAAATGGACCACATCACTGGGATTTTCAATCTCCGAGAATAAAAGTGCAGTATCGTTTTTCACCAGACAAAGGAATTCTATTGCGATGGAGTCAATAAAATTAGGTAGATACACCTTAAAAATACAAACTACCACAAAATGTCTGGGTTTGACTATAGATAACAAATTACGATGGGGTCCACATTTGGAAAATCTGTCAAGAAAATGTGAAGATGCATTAAATATCTTGAGAGTATTAAATCACATGATGTATGGCGCTGACGTGAAGGTTGCAATCAGGATATATAAACAGCTTATATTATCTAAACTTGATTATGGCTGCTTCATTTATGGGGATGCAAGTAAAAATCTACTACGCAAACTGGATACCCTGCAAAATAAAGCTATAAGGTATTGCCTGGGAGTTTTGCGTTCAACGCCCATTAACGCCTTACATGTGGAAGCACACATAATGCCTCTGCATTTGAGGAGGAAACTGTTAGCAACGAAATTCGTTATTGACAGAATAAGGTCCAACAACGTAGAGGTGATACAAAAAATTAGTAGTGCTAACAACTGTCAGAACAGACAATATTGGCAGAATAAGAAGAAACCTATACTTATGTCAGTGATCTCAGAAACTGAATACAAATGCAAGCCATTAGAAGAACAAAACAAAGCAACAAAATTCTACTTCAACTATGAAATCACGACTACAAACCTTCAAAATATCATACAGACGGAATTTTGTAATATATATAGCAGTCCAATTGATTGGGGGTATAGATTAGAAATTGAAGATAAAATTAAAAACACGTTTCCGGACTTCGAGGTTTTCTTCACAGATGGTTCAAAAGGTCCTGAGGGCGTAGGTGCTTGCATCTATCATCAGAACACTAACTTATATACTAAATATAAGTTAGATATAAATGCGTCGATTTATACAGCTGAAATGTACGCCATAAACAAATGTATTCGGAACATCGCCTCACTTAGCTTGGAGAAAGCCGTTGTATTCAGTGATAGCCGATCATCTTTAGAGAGCCTGCTATCTATAGGCAGGGACCCAAGTTTTTTAGTGTTAGATACTCTTAATCATATACATAACATACTCTCGAAAAGAAAATCCGTTTACTTAATTTGGATCAAGAGTCATATTGGAGTAACAGGGAATGAAGCTGCTGACAAAGGAGCAAAAGATGCAATAAACACGGGTATAATCGTAGAAGATGGAATATCCCACCAAGATATCAAAAACCTCTTTAAGGCAAAGATATACAAGGAGTGGCAATTGGAATTCCAAGAGTCAAGTCGTGAAAAAGGACAGTTTTATGCAGCCATACAAGAACAAATTCCTGTCAGACCATGGTTCGACAAATTTACGAGGAGTCGTCATTTTTACTGCATTTTTAATCGTCTGAGAACCAATCACACCTTTACGCCTTTCCACTTGAATAGGATCGGAATTAACATCAATCCGTATTGTCATTGTCTTGGCGAAGCAAATAATGCAGATGCCAATCACTTAATTATGGAGTGTAGACATATGGAGGAAAAAAGAGAAAAACTATGGAATAAATTAACAAAACTGAGGATCCCACTTCCCACAAACCTGAGACTGATGTTGGCAGACACTGTAACTTATGATGCTATATACGAGTATATATGTGAAACTAGATTAATGGTATAGAGATTCAACATGTGTAATTAAAATTAGGTGTATATGTATATTGATGTGTCTTTGTGTATGTATATGCGTGTATATATATGTGCATATATATGTATATATATATATAGGTGGTGAATGAGTATGTATGCATGTGGATTTATATATATATATATGTATATTAGTCTTAATTTTTGTAGATGTGAAATTCTGTAGACAATGGCCAATGTACAAGCTTACAAAGCCAATAAAAAATAAATAAAAAAAAAAAAAACTACGTCGGTTTTGTGGATGGAAACCCAAAACAGATATATTATTCTTATCTCTCTATGATTTTTTTACAATTGCAATTTTTGCAATAGTGATACAGGATGCAGCAATAAACGGCAAGATTTTTTTTATCTGGAAACATATTGCTATCTAAGTAAAAAATCGATGTCAGCCGCTTAACATCAGACTGCTCTCGAGGCATAGTTATCAAACTTATAATTCAAATCCCATAGCTCTAACCACTTATCCACGGACAAGCACAAATAATACATTTTGGGGTTTATTGTGCAATGGTATGAATTTTCTGAACCACAAGGTTTCGTGTTCAAATCTAGCGGTACGTACGACTGAATATCGAGGAGTAGTGATATCGATATCTATTTTTTCTTATAAATGTTAACTCAAGAATGTTTTAACGTAAGAATAGCTTTTAAAGCCATGCCATTGCTGCAATATATCGCATCATAATTTGAAGTATGTAAAAATTAATCATCATTTGTAATATGTAAAAATTCATCATCACAAAGAGAAAGGGCAACCCATGTGTGCCTTGTAATAATTCTAGTTAGTACAAGTATACATTGCTACCGCTTATAAAATACAGAGAATAATTTCAATTACTGGTTAAATAATATTGAATTAAAATAGTTTTTACCTGTAGGTCGACATATTTGCATAATATTTCTGCCAAGGCAATGTAGATTTTAGCAGCCTTCGTCTTCTGTGCAATGGTTTCGTCAGACATGCCGTGTTTGCGTACAGTTTTTGTGTATCGCAATTTGAGTATCCATCATCAAAAATGATCACATCTGATGTTTTAGTTTTTAATCTGTTAATATAAATTTTACGTTATTAAATGATATTTAAGCCATTAATTCAAACTTACAATAATTTAACTTATTAAAAAGAAACCGTAATTCATTTCAGAGTTATTGTATAGGGACTGAATAGGACTGAAATAGAAGGACTGAAATGAATGGGAAGAAGAAGAATGCAGATGATTGACGAATTATCTGAATAGTAAGCTGAAGCACGGAAGAGCCAAGAAGAATGGAAGCAGAAGTTTGGAAAGAAAAATACACAAAAGGATGGGTAAAAAAAGGGGGGGGGGGAAGATAGTGGTAATGAGAGTGATAGACGAGGAAAGGTAAGGAAATCATTTATTATTAAGATAGGGTAAATACGGACAAAATGGTATATAATATAGGCAAAATGAGAAAATGGCATTGTTTAAAAATTGCCTAGTTAACATTCCCGTAAAATCGAAAATTAAATTTTTTCTATCTTTACATTTCAGGGGTTTCTGAACATTTTAGCATACTTTAAACAAAATGGTTGTATGTGTGTGTGTGTCTGTGCGGATACAAATTTTGTTCTACAATTTCGGGAACACGGTTCAACCAATTTCGATTATTCAAATAACATTCGATTGCTGTTGATAAGGAGACGTGCTGATTAGTTTTTGGCATAGGCAGGTCTAGCCGTTTGGAAGATACGGGACAAAAAGTGCCAAAAACGGTAACTCAGTTCTAAGAAAGCGGAGATTCCGATTTTAATAATTCAAAAAACATTTTACTTGTATTAACAAGATGAAGAATTGATCAAATTTTCATGTAGGTCTAGTGAAAAAAGTAAAAAAATGCCATTTGGCGGACAAAAATCATTAGGCATACGCACATCAAATTATCAGATATTTTATAGAGATTTTAACAATAAGTATAAATTTTGTCTACATTCCTATCGGTTCCGTACCAATGTTTATCCGTAAGACGGCGACGCGGCGCTTACGCGCTGCGTAAAAATTCGATTGCTTTGAAAAAAGTTCAGAATTGCCAATATATTTCAAAATAAAGAAAATATTTGTTTCAAAAAAAATTTTTTTTGAAAAAAGTTCATTTTTGTCAAAATATTATAGTTTCTCAAAAATCTAATTTTTTCAAAGTATTTTTTTTTTAAATGTTCATCTTTTTTAAAAAAAAATAATTTTTGGTACGGGAAGTTCCACTAAACTTAAGGCACGATGCTATGCGCATACATACTTATACAATAAATAAAATTAAATAGTACTATTTCGCAATAACAACAGGGTAGTTCATTCGATGCCAGGAAGAGAGGAAATTGAATTCTGGAGAAGGTAATTGACTTTTAATTGTTACTTTAACTACTTCTAATTTTGTTCCTTTTGGGCTTATAATGTCCCAAATGATGTTTGTGAACTGTCTTCTCATAAATTAGTATTTTAGTATGGATTCAACAATGTCATTTTCCGTACTATATGGACAAAATGGTTTTTGTAATTTTTCTTAAATATGTTATTATAGTTCCTACTTAAATAATTTACTACTTAATTTCCTTCTCAATTAAGTCTTTTAAAAGACTATTGGCAGTTAATGAATCCATGATGTCTGATAACGATTGACACTTATTGTAATATTTTTGAATAAATAAATTTAAGATAAAAATAAAATACATTATCATTTTGTCCGTATTTCCTCTATTATTTATCTTGCTAATATTAATTTGAACTAAATACATATTAATTTGAAAAATTGTAATGTGTCCTCGAATTATCATTAGTAAACGTCAAATGAAAATTTATTACCAATCTATTATATTATTTTATAAAAGTTTCATCTATATATTCTAACTTACTTATCATTTTCGCTATTCTCCTTTGCAGTTGCATATAGTTGTGAACTCTTGCTGGAATTCAACAACGCCACTTTTTCTAAATTATTTTGCAAAAAATTTGATACTACGGAATAAATTTTTCCACATTTGATAATTCCTTTCTGGGGGGTTTTGTTCTCTGCCAAATTGGGCATTGAATTGTTTTGCCCATTGCCAAACCTCTTGATAATGCTGTCCAAACTATTACAAATTGTGGTCGAAGCAGGTTTTTGCACTTGGAGATGATACTTTTGCTGGATTGATGACGTGGATCCCTGCATACTCTGAGATGACGACTGCATAAAAATATTTATAAAAAATATAATATAGATCTTTTTAGTACTATGTAAAGAAAATATTATCTATATAACGATTGGTGTCTAATAAATAAATAAATAAATAAATAAATAAATAAATAAATAACAATCTGATTATAATGTATTTTAAAAGCTATTGTGATGTTACTATGTAAACTTAATATCAAAATTGACTTGATCTGACTGCATGTATACTATAAGGTCTATCATTGTTCCTCAAATTCCAATTGTCATTCGAATTTATTTATTGTTTTTCTGAAAATTTTTAAGTTTGTTAATAATAAGTAAATATAACTTACAGTTTGACCCACATAATTCCTCATTATCTCCTTCATGAATTTTCCTCCTGATCGCAGTGCCATTTTTTATTGAATTTATATTTGAAATTTTAGGCAATAAAGAATGTGTTATTAAGCTAATTTTACTATTTTTTTGCTTTGAGAGCAAAAGCAAATTTACTTTCAAAATTTTGTCATTTTGATTAGTTTTTATAAAATTTTAAAATTTTTTACAGATTCATGATAAAATATTAAAGTTTTTTGTTTTTTTTTGTTTTTCTTATCTGACGTGCATGGTATCTAGATATACATAGTGTTCCTAGATTAGACACATAAATATGTAAAACAAAAAAATAATATGTTTTAGAGAAAACGAAAACTTAAATACTAGTAAAAAACATTCAAAATTATTCTATGTTTATATCTATAATATAAAAATGAATCGCAAAATGTGTTCGTAAGCGCATTACTCAACAACGCCTGAACCAATTTGGCCAATTCTTTTTTCAAAATGTTCGTTGAAGTCCAAGGATGGTTCTTAGGGGAGAAAAAATCGAATAATTGCCGGGAAAACCCTAAAAACAGCCCTTTTCTTGTTCACATACAAACGTTTTCTAACTAAAACGTAGAATCAATTTGAGCTGTAATTTTTTATAATGCGTAAATAAATAAGGTGAATTAGAGAATTTATAAAGGTAAACTGGTGAACTGGTGAATTGGAGGATATGTAAAATGCTAGAGAGGAGAATTGGTAGATTGACGAATATGTAGACAAATAAACAGGTTGACAGGTTAATTGGGAGACATGTAGAAAGGGATGTCAGGTAAATTTGTAGGCCGGTGAAATAGTAGATTGATAAACAGGTTGATAGGTAAATTAGTAGACAATTGGTTAAACAGGTAAATTGCTCAACAGATAAATTATTGAACAGGTTAATTGGTAGACATTCAGAACGCAATGACAGGTAAATTGGAAAGCAGGTAAATTGGTTGACAGGTCAAATTGTGTATTGATAAACAGGTCGATAGGTAAATAGGTTGCTAGGTAAATTGGTAAGCCGGTAAAATGGTAGATTGATTAACAAGTTGATAGGTAAATTCGCAGGCAAATTGTTGAATAGGTGAATTGTTGAACAGATAGTTGTAACGTTAAATTAAATGTAACAAATACACATATTTGTTCAACTTTTCAATTTATTAAATCACGGCAAAGCGTGAACGATCACAACTAGTATATATATATATATATATATATATATATATATATATATATATATGGAAAAATTACTATAAGAGTCTGGAGAATGTAAAAATATAACATATTTTATTACAAATTATTTTTTTGTCATAAATGGACAGAAAAAATCAATAAATTAAAGATTGCGCTGTATATATATTCTTTAAAATGAATTTGTTAGTTAGGTATTAAAAAATATATCAAACATTATAAAACGTTGAATTATTGTTACTTTTAATGTTTCATATAACAAATAAATATAAATATATTCAGAAATAGCTGACAAATATTGCTTGATCCTAGTCATCAACACTCTGTGCATTAGAAGAAAAAATCAATATTTTATAAACCATCATAATCGGTTCAGCAATTCTTCACAAAAGTGGGCAGATTTATACATACATACTAAACATATTAGATTAATAGGTGAAAACTTTAAGAACCAATCAGAGGTTAAATACAATATTTTATAAAATATAGCGTTTTTTCGCAGTACGTATATGTACTATAGTACATATATATATATATATATATATATATATATATACATATATATATATAATAATAATAATAATGGGTAGTGCTGCCCTAGGGCAGGTCCGTGAGCTGAGTTAAACTCCAACTCGATTCAGGGAAGAAGTAGTGTGAGAGTTTTTCCCATATATAACTGTACTATATATATATATATATATATATATATATATATATATATATATATATATGTATATATATATAACATTAACAAATTATTTGATTTCATTTAGATCCGTATTTCAGATCCACTGAAATTATCGTTTTTATTTTTAAAATCACATCGAAATCGATGAAGAAATTATTAGAAAAGTTTATTACTACTTTCCTTGATAAAATTAATTTCGAAATTTTAGACAATTTTGAGCTAAGAAATTTCTGAAAATATTAGACAACTGCAATATTTGGAATTAGTAACAAATATTGATAGATTTTTAATTTTTTTATTCAACAAATCAATAGCATGTTATGCAAGAAGGCGACGGATATCAATCAAATGATAGTTCTTTAACATTTTACAAATCATTTTTGTACATGCTTCAGGTAATTGTACTATGTTCAGTCAGAAAACTCCATTATGAGTATATTTGAACCATATATACTATGTACAAATCAATCATCTTATTTTTTGTATTTATAAATAAATTTTCCCTAGATATACTTTTCTTAAATATCTAATTTAAATGCACTTTGATTTGAGATTATAGAAAATAGATGGAATGTAAAATAAGTAGGAAATAGATACTAATATAATAAAATATATACGTATAAAAGATATTTGAATCTAGAATAAAGATCAATCTAAAATGACCTAGGCCACTTTACAGTTAAATAAATTTTTCCTACTATGTCACGAGTATATACAAATTAATATCTTATATCAGAAAAATTTCAAAAATTATAGTAGATTATTCAGATACTTCATGAAATAATAATAAATATGAAGTATTAATTCATAAAAAATGCCGTTATAAACGAATTATCGGTGGTACCAAAAAGTTTCATAGACTTATTGTAAAAATTACAAAATAAATCTATACGTAAACTATAACTATATTCTTACCTATATAGTTATGATTGACAATGAACTTATTTACAATGGTTTTTGGAAAACAATTACATACGAAAAACGCCAAATTTGGTTTCATGTCCAGAATTATTCATTGCTGCAGCTAAGGAAAGACCTAAAACTTTCCTTGTATCTGCAGGATCGATTATGCCATCATCCCAAAGTCTTAAAATATAAAAAATGTGTTAACATTACAGTATAATTTAAAATAATTCGCAATCTATTTTTTTTTTTTGTTTTGTCTTGAGAAAACAATTTGTTGCCAAAATATTTATTTTATTTAGTTTGTTTTTAAATTAATATTATTACCTGGCAGAACTGTAGTAAGGTGATCCTTCTTTCTCAAATTGTGCGATGATAGGCGCCATCAGCGCATTACTTTGCTCTGCTGTCCATTCTTTACCAGCTCGTTTATGTTGTTCTTCAGTAATTTGGTTTAAGACACCTGCAGCTTGTGGTCCACCTGAGATTTTCAATGTATATATTAATAAATAGAATATTTAGGTGAGAATGTAATCTTACCCATGACTGAGATTCGAGAATTTGGCCACATGTACAAGAATCGAGGAGAATAAGCTCTTCCGCACATCCCTGGAAAGAGTTACATACATATATCAAAATCTTATATATAGAAATAATTGATAAAGAAATCGAGATATTATTGAATTTTTAGTTTTTTGCGATCGCTGCAAAGACTGTTATTAATTATTACATAAAAAGCAAGGAAATTGGTGGAGCAATTCAGAGTTAAGTTTCAGAGTAACTAGTGGTATATGGCATCGAGCCTTGAGGTAAATTGCTGGTACTTCCCGTACCTTAATGTAATATTCGAGAAATATTAAATGTTTTCAAATAGATTATTATAAATACTGTAACTTATTTATGTATACAGAAAGGTAAATAAACAAAATTTAATCAATCAAATTTAAAATGTAGGATATTGTCTAATATTTATAAGAATTATATAAATTGATTTGCAAAGTTAATATATTATTTATTTGAAGTGAGGTTTAAAACTACAGCTAGAATTAAAATTGAAATTCGAATTATTTTCGATTTTAAATCATTCAAATCGGATGCTTAGTTCCCTCAAAAACTGCATTTTTTGCATATTTGGCTCCAAAACGGCTGGACCTGTCTTTGTCAAAAACTAATCACCACTTCTCCCCGTCATTACGAATTGAATGCCTTTTGGATCATTCAAATTGGATGCTTAGTTGTCTCAAAAAATCGATAATTATTTTCCGCACTTTTTGCCCCGTATCTACACGACTAGACCTGCCTTTGACAAAAACTAATCAGCACATTTTCCTACCAATAGGAATCAAATGTTTTTTGAATCATTCAAATCGGTTGATCCGTGCGCCCGCAATCGTGAACGAAAAATTGTCCGAACGAAAAAAATCCATACATACATACAGACACACGCACACATACACACATCCATTTTTTGTAAAGTATGCCAAAATGTTCAGAAACCTTCAAAACGTGAAGAAATGCAAAAATTTTCAATTTCCATTTTTGGACGATTACAATAACTCACCCTACGGAAAGTTAAAAATGTTAAATATGAAGAAAAGAGTAGAAAATGTTTACACAAAACTAATAATAAAATTTATATTTCATGCATTTAGAATAAATTTCAAGTTTCTAGAATATATCAGGAGAGTTTTTATTTTTGAAATCTAGCAAGTATAATTTGAAAAAATGTGGATGATGCCAATAGAATTCCAAATTAATCATTCGGCATTTTATAGGGTATAAGAAGAGCATTTGAAAGATATTTATAATACTTGATATTGAATTACTACAACAAGTTAAGAAGCCATTTTAGCACATTGGCACTGATAGTAATTATTCAGAATTTTATTAATCTGCTCAGGATTTTTCGCAAAAATGTGAGCATATAATTTTTAATTTAGCTATTAAATGAAAAAGCACATCTACATTAACTAATTAAGATTTACTTATTTTCTTCAAATAACGTTTATAAAATACGTATCAGTTTTTGTGAAAAATATAAAGTTTACTATATTAATCGTTAAAACGTTAATAAAACGCGTAATAGTTGGAAAATATTCTTAGAAAAATTATTAAGTACCATAATTTCCGGCTCCGTACGATCCTCCAATTATTAATGTAATTTTTGGTACATTGGCAGTAGCAACAGCTGTTACCATTTTAGCACCATTTTTCGCAATACCATTGGCTTCGGCGTCACGTCCCACCATAAACCCTAAAAATATATTTTGCATTAATTTCAATATTTAGATGTCGATTCAGATGAATCAATCATTCAAACAATAAACATACCAGTAATATTTTGCAAGAATATCAATGGTATTTTCCTTTGCGCACATAATTGGATAAAATGTGCTCCTTTGAGGGCACTTTCCGAAAACAGCACACCATTATTTCCAACGATTCCTACTATTTGCCCATATAATTTCGCATACCCGCAAACCAAAGTATCACCATACATTTTTTTGAATTCCATGAATCGGGAACCATCGAATATTCTGGCTATAACTTCACGAACGTCAAATGGTTTCGTCAGTACAGAACCAACAATACCATAAATTTCTTTGCTATCGAACTTGGGTTCTTCTGGAATTGTGATATTACTTCTTAAAGAGTCGTCTATATTTTGAAGAGTATAAGGCATCAATTCATCGTAGGTTCGAGAAGTGGGAAGATTTAGATTACTAATAACTTGACGAGCCAGGTGCAGAGCATGCTCGTCATCAACGGCGTAATGGTCAGTTACACCAGATGTTTTGCAATGCAGATCAGCACCTCCGAGATCTTCAGCTGACACCTTTAGCAAAATAAAAAAATATTACTAACTCTTTTCCAATTATTTGTTACACAATATATTTTAAGATTTTCAAAAACAAAAATAACAAAAACATTCTAAAAACAATAATAACAAATTAAAATTCTCAATCTAACTCATACTGATTTATCTTGAAGCAAAAGTCCACTGGATGTCATCTGTAGGCGACACTCTTTGTTTCAGGTCGTAATCGTTAGCGGTCGCCTATAGATCTATAGACGCTTGTAGTAAATTTGTTAAATACTATTATTTTATAGAATATATATGTCTGACATAAGTATCACAAATTGCTGGAACTTCCCGTATCGTAATTAAAAATATTGGTACGGAATCCAAAAAAAATTAAACGAAAATGTGTACACATTATTAAAATCTCTATAAAATACAAAAAAAAAAAAAATGAATAAATAAATAAATAAATAAAATATCTGATAATTTGACGTAAATATGTCCAATAAACATTTTTGACCGCCAAATGACATATTTTAACTTATTTTTATTGAGAGTCCACCGCTGGACCTGCCTTTCCAAAAAATGAATCAGTTCTTCATCTTGTCAATACAAGTAAAATGTTTTGTGAATTATTAAAATCGGACGCTCCGTTCTCTTAAAAACTGTGTTACCGTTTTTGGCATTTTTTGCCCCGTATCTTCAGAACGGCTAGACCTGCCTTCGCCAAAAACTAATCAGCACGTCTCCTTATCAATACGAATCGAATGGTTTTTGAATTATTCAAATCTCTTCATCAGTGTTCCCGAAATCGTCGACGAAAATTTGTATCCGCACATACATACATACACGCACACACAAACACACATACATCCATTTTTTCTAAGGTATGCCAAAATATTCAGAAACCTCTGAAATGTAAAGATATATAAAAATGTTCATTTTCGATTTTTTTGCGATTACTATAACTTGCCCTACGGGAAGTTAATAAATTTCTGGAAAACTGTACACCAAATACTGTGATATCTCAGATAATTTTCATGACCAACGTGTTTGAAATCAAATTTAAAAAAATCATTTTCTAACTCCTACTTCCTAATGTAATAACGTAATAACAGCATGCATTTTATTCTTTGTCCTTTCAGTTATAATGGCAACTGCCGAAATAAATTTTTCGAAATTAAAACTAATTAAAATTTACCTAAGATCTTTGAGAGAGAAACATCTATCAGACCTCTGTCATTATCGTTCCTGAAGGCAAAAACTTCAAAAAAACTGAGGATATTACTTGATAAATAATAATAATAAACTTAAAAAGACAAGGAGAGTAAATATGTGTTTGGAATCATTTGTAAAAATTTCAGAAAATTTACAGATGGTTGAAGATAAATAAATATTCCTTTAATTTTATGCATTTTTTATATTAACAAACAAGTTTTGATACGGGGCCCCGTCAAGGCTACGCCGCTGATTGTCTTGTAGTTTTTTACGAAATAAGAGAGAATAGTTAGATAGATTTCTAACTGTTAAAAATTCACATATATAAATTTCACTATAACTTAAGTCAAAATTAAATTTCTTGTTATCTGTTGCCGCAATTTCAATATTTCGAAGAAGTTTTACGCAATTTTATTAGGTTTCTTTACAATTAAGTAAAATTGCGCTTTTGCATTGTATGATTATTTATGCGATAATGCGATTGCCAAAAACTGTAATTACCATTAATTTTTAAAAAGGGGAAAATTATGTTATAACTTACAACTTCCCCTGTAGCTGCTTTGACAAGAGGTGGTCCTGCCAAAAAGATAGTACCTTGTTTTTTAACAATTATACTCTCATCTGCCATAGCTGGCACATAAGCACCACCAGCGGTACAGCTACCCATTACTACTGCGACCTGGAACGAAAAATTATTATATTATTCTACTATAAACGATAATATATTGTAAAACAAAAACAATTAAAAAACATATTTATAATGTACCTGCGCAATACCCTGTCCAGACATGTTAGCTTGGTTGAAGAAAATGCGACCGAAATGCAATTTGTCTGGGAATACATCAGCCTGTTTTGGTAAATTGGCACCACCAGAATCTACTAAGTATACGCAAGGGAGACGATTTTCCTAATAATTAAATATTAATAACTAACAAAATATTTAGTGGATTATTTAAAATTATACTGGCCATTTGCACAAAACAAAATTCTATATACTTAAAAATCAAGTTTTACGAGATTTTGAGCTATTTTTAGTACAATTCCCCTGATAGTTAGTATAATAAAAATTTACATAATTTGTAATTCAAAATCAATAGATACAATTATAATATTAATAATTAGATAATACAGTAAATGTTTTATAATTACCTGTGCTATTTCTTGTGCCCTTATGTGCTTTTTTACTGTGATTGGATAATAAGATCCACCTTTAACTGTGGCATCATTTGCTACTACCATACACAGAGTGCTGAAATATTTATTTTTATATTGTTTCCGAACTATATTAGTCCTGAATTAGGATATGTTTTATAATACCCTTGAATACGTCCAATTCCCGTAATTATGCCACCGGCATTGACAACTTCTTTACCATACATTTCATATCCTGCTAATGTTCCAATTTCTAGAAACGGAGATCCTTTGTCTAATAGAAGATCGATTCTTTGACGTGCCAAAAGTTTGCCTTAGTAAGATAAATATAAATAATTTAATGAAACTTATCAATAATCCAGTATTAACAATGGACACATAATAATAGGAATACAAATAATTCGCAAACACAGCAATATGATTTACATTTTAAAACAACCATTTTAAATTTTTGGAATGAAATTAGTAATCCAGATATTTTCCGATTTGTATAAACAAATTATTGCAAATTCATAAAAATATGTGCAATACATAATATGATAGATTAAGCGTTTTTAGAACTGTGAAAGTTTTGCAGATTGTTTAAAACACTTTTTTAATTCAAATGAATATTATCATATTTGATCTTAAATAAAAAAATATAAAGCGGAAAATACATATACTGTGTGACAACAATATGTAACATCAATAATTATTGTAAAACATTATTATAAATCCAACAGGTTTAATATTACCTACATATATTATAATGTTACCATATCCTCATACCATAGATACTTTTTTTCTTTCTTTAACTCTATAATGAGCAAATTGTAAGCTCTTAGTATTACTTTTACTTTTTACTTTCTTCCTTGTAATTTTTCAAAAGTGTAACATATTTTAGTTTTTAAATTTGAGTTTCACTGAATGAACTATACTTTATTACTATTGATTTTAAAATGAACTTTTGAAGAAATTTGTATTTTTAATTGGTGTTAGACTCGATTATTAGACTCTATATGTTATATGTGAATAAAAAAATATTTAGAAATTATTTTATTATATGAATGAGGAATGGTAAAGAATTAAGTGCATGAATATATATGATATACATATAAAAAATATTAGTTAGCATTTAGTGAAAATATCATTACATACTTATTTAAACTCCAAATTTTGCTAAAATTATTAAAAATAGCCCCTCTAACTATATCTATAAGAATTTGTTACATTAACCTGTTATAAAAATAATAGATTTTAACCCTTTCGACTCGGATGCCGCCGCTTCGGCGGCAAAATTCATATAAATCTCGCAATTCGCAAGTGGAAAGGGTTAAAATGAGACTTTCCTAGAATATTATCGTATTAATATTAAACCAAACACCGAAATGCTAATTAAAATATTTCCTAAATTAAAATATTTTAAAATTCGCAGAAAGTCAGCGAATAATGGTACTTTCACATAACAAGGTATTCAACGGGCGTGTATTTAATAGTTGGAATAGTTAGCATGCTATTAGTAAAATACTGTTAGTTTAACTAATACCAATATTTATGTATGAAATTATATTATGAATTTGTCGCTCAACAATCTTAAATCTTTAATGCTTTCTTATGGCTTGATGTGTATTAAAAAATATAAACAATGCAAAATAAAGTTTAAGTTTGAATTAAATACATTGAGATAACAAAAGAGTTTGCTGTTCAAGCACGTTTATTATAAAATTAAAATAAAATAAATTATATGATAATTATAGTTTGCTGAGCTAAATTAACAAACTGAGGATTGAAGGACTTACATAAGTAAAGGATTTTTCATTCCTACAAGACTTGGAATGATGATGTGGGATTACCATGTTTAAGCATGCCACCAAATGATTCAAGAAGCCAAAATATATACCCTTTGATGTATGCCTCTGAATGGCCTTTTCACCGCCACCTTTTAATATTTCATTTGTAACCGATTTTAATTTGTCCACTAATGTTGACATTTGATTGTAGTTTTCCTAAATTGAAATAAAAATAAAATGATCAAAACGCAAGCAGTTACTGCATATAGTTTAAACTTAAAACTTGATTAAGTTGTTCAGAATAGCTATTGTTGTTTATGATTTTATTTTTCTAAACTAAAGATCCTCATTAAAAAAAATCATTTAATTTTTCATTAAAAATAATTTTCTATGTTTCAGAAATATGGAATTTGTAACTTTAAAGAATTCAATGTTTACATTTGAATTATTAAAATCAATTTTTTTTCATAAAACACTCACTAAAAATGAAGTTGTGCATTCACTAGATTGAATAGAAAAATCCTTGTGATTTATATGTTTAATATTAGAAATCCATTGAAAGACAAATTATAAATTTATTTTTCTAACTTTTATGTTATTGTTTATTATTATTACTAGATGTTAAATTATTTAACAGTTGTAATAAATATTGTAATTGAAAGAAAAATTCTAACTAATTCTTTTTTTTTCTAAGCTTGTGTATCATCTGAAATCTTCTTCCTTTGTGTTATTATTAATGTTGCTTGATAATTTTATAATATAAAGAATTGTAGAATTCATGAAAAGTTTCTATATCTGTTCTTAAATTTATCGTTTTTGGAATCATTTTTATGAAAATTGATTCCACAAACATTCTTGTTTCATTTTTTTTATTTTGTTTTATACATTTGTCAAAGAAGATTAACAGTAACACCCAATCAAAAAGCAGATTTTAAGTGAAATACAAACATAAGGAAAAAATGAATCAGCTTGAAAAATAACTTTAGAATTTTTTTTATGTACATGCAACAACAAATATCTAGAACTCGAAGTCAATATTTCCAAATAATAATTAATTTTTAGTGAATATTTTATAAATTGTTATAGCGAGTATTCGTTAAAAATGTGCAGTTTCAATAATTCAAAGGTAAAAAGTGGATTCTTTAAATCTTTAAATTGAATAAAAAAAAATTGCATGAATGTATTAACATTTTTTGTTTATTTTTAATAATTTCTGAATAAGGGGTTCATAAATATATATTATGAATGTTGAATAAAAACGAGGCGTTAATTTAAAAAAATAAATTCATAAATAATAATAGCAATCCAGCCTAATGTAAACCATTAAACAATAATAATATATAAATATGTGTATGTATAGTATAGAAATATATATATATATATATATATATATATATATATATTATCTAAAAATTTATTCATTATAACCCTTCCCACTCGCGAATTCCGGAATTTATATGTATTTTGCCGCCAGTGCGGCGACATCCGAGTCGAAAGGGTTAATATTTACATAAAGCTTTATTAATATTTTTCATGAAAGAAATTTGAAAGAAACTTGATACATTAAATAATTTTAATTATTATTGAAACAGAAATATTCAATATTTAACACATCATATTTATTATTATTATTATTAATATTATTATTATTATTATTATTATTGTTATTATTATTATTATTATTATTATCATATGTATTATAATAATGATAATAATAATAATAATAATAAATATGTGATAAATATAAAATATTTGTGTTTCAAAAATAATTAAAATTATTAATGTATCAAGTTTCTTTGTAGATATTAAGTGGTATTTCCTATAGTAACAAGTATGTAATCAAATTCAATTTGTCAGCAGGTCAATGTCATGTACTATGTCGTGATCATAAAAAAACATTTATGCACGCACCAAAATTTAATAATTTAGAATAACAAATAAAATTAACCTTACTTGGTAGTCTGGAGAATTCACATCGCATTCTGTACCAATTGTATTTATATCACCGAAATGAATGCATCTTCGAATTATATTTGTATTAAAAACTTTTAATTTCTTACTTATTTTTATAGGAAACATTTTTATAAATTTATTTATTAATTAATAAGGCACAAGCACAAGCACACGAAAGGTTACACCAATGACAAAAACTAAAAGTCAGATCCACGTGTTGTTTGTGTTGCCAGGATTCTAATAAGAATCCATATTGGTGGGAGGAATCTAACAAGAATATGAAATCGGCGCAATTAACTCATAATAAATATATGAAGTAAATGTTGTATTTTTATAATATATTTATTTATATAAAAAATATATTATGATGCGTTTAATTATATATTCAATAATATTTTTTTTAATATATTAAAATCAAATATATATTATTAAATATAATACATTTAATTATATTTTCATTTAAGTTATTTTAAATATTTAATATTACAAATAATTAAAATTTATTAAATATATTAAAAACATAGACCTTATATACTTATAATAACAATAAGTATTATAAGGTTTAAAATTGAGATTAAAATACTTAAAAATTTGTATCCGCACACACACACGCGCGCGCACATCCAATTTTTCTAAGGTATGCCAAAATGTTCGAAAACCTTTGAAACGTAAAGATATATACAAATGTTCATTTTCGATTTTTTTGCGATTATTATAACTTACCCTATGGGAAGTTAAAAAATCAAAGTTAAATATACATATATTTACTTTATATTATACTTATATGTATATTATTTTCAATATTAAACCTATGTAAAACATCTTTATCTAAAAAAATAATAATATATTCAAAATAAAAAGAACTCCATTGAAAATCGTTTGAGATAAATTATGATATTTGAATAATATTTACTTTAAAAACATAAATTATAAAAAAAAATTATAAAACATTTTATATTTTTTTTATATATTTCTTTACATATTTTTTTTATATTTTTTTATATATTTTTTATATATTTTTATATATATTTTTTTATATATTTTTTATATATTTTTATATATTTTTTATATATTTATTTTTTTTTTACCTTTTTTTATATTTATATCTATATTTTTTCTATATTTTTTTTATAATTTTTTTTTATAATTTTTTTTTATAAAACATTGCCAACTTCAGTTGGTTTGAAGAAGGTTCACAAAACAATAAATAAAAATTAATGAATATTTATTAGTGTTGATTTATTAATTAAGTTATATATATATATTATTATGCTAAAATAAGGAATTTAAAGTAATTATTTTATATTGGGATTTTTGCAACTTCATTTTAACAAATAAAAATATATATTAAAAGCAACAAAAAAATTTATAGTTATAATTTTATGTAAATAATTTTTAAAGCAATATTAAAATAAACGTCAATGATGCGTATCATAAAAAAATAAAAAAGCTAAAAATGAAACATTAAAAACAGTTATAAAAATCGCACACATGTTAAAAAAATATTAATTTAAAAATCATTCCAAATTCGCCTAAAAATGTCCCCCTTTCATGTAACTGAATATCTCATCAGGCAACACATTACAAGTGATCAAACATAGAATTCAAATTCCAGCTGTCAACAAATAAACAATAACACATAATAATTTCTATTTCAATTGTGATTGTGCAATGTTGATGTATTTTAAAAGTGACAATATTTAGAAATAATCTATTTTTTTATTTATTATAATACGTAGAGAATTTCTCAAATATGGAAAGAATACCTGACGAAGTATTGGAATTTATTTTGGGTTTCCTACCACCCTATGATGATCTTCAAAAATGTCTATTGGTCTCGAAAAGATGGGCACAATGCGCTAGAAGTACATTAATAATATATTGTAGATTATGATGCTTCTATAAATAAATTATGAACAATCTCTATCATACAGATTTTACATCTGATTAAAATTAATCCTAAATTTGGCAAGGATAGAATTTTGATCTTACTCAATCAAAAGAGCCTCAAAAACGAACTGCTTTTCTAAGCCACAGTTTTGTTTTTATTTTTCATTTGCATGTGTTGCATACACAAGAAAATATCTTTTTAATAGAGCTCTATGAATTAGTTTGATAAATGCAACAATTACAACTTGAAACATATTTGTTTTCCTGATTTAAAATATTAAACTCTTGTCTTGTTATTTGTTTCTAAAATCATGAAGCCAATATTTACATTCAAAATTGTTCATTGCAAACTGGAAATTGCAATCTGCTTGCTTAAAATCCTTTCTTGTTATATATTATATAAAAGTTGTTTTGGATTTTATTTTATAAACATTTTGTAACTTCATTTTGCTAAGAAGGTTAACTTCGGTGATAAATGATCAATTATTGATAATGGCACCTAATTTTGCTTCTAATAATACTATTGAAAGATTGTGTTTATAATTACTTATACAATTACAACACATTTTTTATTCCAGATGTCATAAATAAAACTTCAATAGACCTCTATCGTGCTATTGTTGATTTTGATATAATTTGGGACTCAATAAGTCCTATAGATTTAGCAAATACCATTGCAAAAAGATATTCACATTCTACAGTCGTTGATAAAAATTCAATGTATGTGTTTGGAGGCTGCACTTGCACATCAACTACATTTAATGATTTATGGAAGTTTAATTTGTCTACAAGGCAATTTGAAAGATTGCTGACGACTGGTACGAAAACTAAACACTTTGCTAATAATCTATTGAAAGATTGAGTTCATTATAATAAACTTCAATCTTGGATTTAAAATCTTTACCTTATATTTCAGGCACCTATCCGTCTCCTAAAGCATGTGCTTCTATGGTATGTCATAATAACACATTAATTTTATTTGGAGGCTGGGCACATCCTTCTCCATATCCACTTCACCAGTCATGGAAATTATTTGACGAGTTACATATTTATAATATAAACCAAAATCGATGGCTTAAACAGATCGGTCTAGATGACATGCCACCCCCAATGGCAGGTCACTCTGCTACTGTCCATAATAATATAATGATTGTATTTGGAGGATTACAGAAACATCATGGTGCTTTTGACTCGCAATTCAGTAGTTCAAATGATATTTGGTGTTTGGACCTAATTACATTCTTGTGGTATAAACAGTCAACATCTGCAGAGAAACCTATGCCAAGGTTAATGAAATAATATTAATAATAATAATAAAACTATTCAATACATGAATTGACCATTTATATGTCCTTTATGTTACATATATATTTTTTTTAGATATGGTCAATCACAAATTTACTTAGATAGTGAACATCTTTTAATAATAGGAGGTTGTGGTGGAACTAATCTGATTTACTCAGATTGCTGGTTATTAGCAATGAATTCAAATATTTGGAAATGGCGAAAAGTGCAAATTTTCAATACTTCTAACGGCCCAGCAAATATTTGGTGTAACCAAGCATGCAAAGTAAGTAGATTTCTCATCTATAACAAATTTTAAAATTCATTTTCACATTATTACTGGAATCATCACATTATTGCTCAAATCGAAAAATATTACTTTATAAAATTACTTAACTAGATAAAGAACTCAGATTTGCAACATTAAGAACTGTGAAAAAGATTATTATCAAATCAATCAATATCTTAGCTTACCTTATCACTTTGTATAACTTGTAAATTTACTCCAAATAATATGCTTATCACATTTCTGCATTTTGTTTTATAATTCCTGATTAAGGTATATTGCCTTCATAATCACAATAAAATACTTCTTATGAATCAACAGTTTTTAACTTCTTTTATTTATTCTTCAGGTTGGAGATAAGTTAGTAATATTAAGTCAAGGAAAAATTATTGGTACCCCACTAAGTTTGTCATGCAAATGGAATTTACCCAACCAGATAAAAGGACCACCTCCTAACAGATTAGAAGATGATTTCTATGAAGATGATAACGATATTCCTATAAGATTCATAGTGATCCCTGATAAAAAATCTAATTCTCTGGATATAGATGAGAACATTAATGGTAATGTTAATTAATGAAATAAATAACATAAATGACAATAAAATAGTTAATAATTAGGATATTTTTTATAGGAAAGTATGGACAATTGCAAAGTAAAAATAAATCAAATACAGAAAAAAAATCAGAACCTAGTACTAGTAAAAGTCAAATAATATTTGTAGAGTCAGACGAAGATAGACCTAGTACTAGCAAAGACAATTTACAACCTGGATTACATAATAAAAATAATTTAAGAAGAGGAGGAATGTTAGCATCTAAAAACAAGCACTCACAGAACAATAATCACTCTGAAAGATTGAGGAGATTAGATGTTGTATCTCAGAGATTAAAAAGATATGAAGAAGTTTTAAAACGAGGATATTTAGTTCAACAGTTAGACATAGAAAAATTAAGAAAAAAAGTAGAAGCTGAAAAGATTCCGACAAAGAAACATAAAAGAAATCAGCTATCTATTTTTGTGTTAGATATATCAAATGTTAATTCAGAAGAGTGTTCTGCAACTTGGATGCAGAATGATAAAAACATAATATCAAAGGAAGCACCGGAAGAAACTATATTGTACAGCTTAGTTGCTGGTAAAGGAGAATTAATAATGTTTGGTGGAATACAAAGGGATGCTACCAGTTGCATGTTAAATATTGCTAGCACAACAGAGCAAGTATCAAATACTTTACATTTTATAAGAGCTCCAAAATGTGTGATTTGATGACTAATTTTTTTTTTTTGACTATATATAATATATAATTAGAATTAAAACTTATGAGATTTATATGTTGCAAACCCTGAAATGTGCAACATTGTTATGCAAATGAATTACCTGAAAGAAGAATATTTTATTTCTGGTTGAAAATTGTGAGATAATTATAAAAACTTTCAAATACTAAATGGATTTTTAATAATTTTTGTTTTAAATTGTTTTACCTTCATGAGCTAATAAAATATGTGAATGTTTCATATTATAACAATAATTCTACAATTAAAATTAACTTGGTTTTGACACCATCATTGCTCTTTTGCATGCCTCTTCTACAGCTCCTTGGACAGCTGCACGAAATCCTATGAATTATAATAATTATAATCATGAAATTGATACAAGTGTAATTCCTGAAAAATCATTTCTTCAACATGAAGTATCTGAGTAGATCGTGTTCTCTATTACATTTATGACACAATTGTTTTAATAAAAATAAATTAGAATCATAAAATACAGTAAGTTAGAAAAATAACGGAAGAAAAAAAGATTTAATTTGTTCACTTCATCACTATTTTATACTTAGCATTAAAGGAATGCTTATAATAAGGGATATGTAATGTATATAAATTAGTTGTATTAATGAAAACGTTAATGGAGAAAATCAATACATTAACTATAATGCTCGTGATTGATGCATTTATTACCTTTGTGTTCTAAAAATGAGAGGCCGGCTGCAGTTGTACCACCTGGACTAGTAACATCATCTTTCAGTTTTCCAGGATGTTCATTTGTATCACGAACCATTTTTCCTGCACCCAAGACTGTCTGAGATGCTAATTTATAAGCGAGATCTCGCGTAAACCCATCTTAACCCCACCATCAGCCAAAGCCTCGATTAACACGAATATCTATTTCCAAAATTGTATAAATCTAGATAAGAATGCTAACTTTATATTTATAAAATTGTTTCTTTGTCATTCATGATCGCTATTGCAAAATACAGTGGGCATAAATTTTATAACATTCAGTATAATTTATCTTTGGTTTATAGAAAAAATAACGATTTTTGAATTACTACTACCTAACCTACTAAATTTGATTTATATTTGTAGCAAAGAAATACTGTTTTTGAAATGTTTAAAACTGTTTTAAGAAAATCAAGAAGTTAAAAATGTATCTTTCAGAAATTCATCAAAATTGTGCACACATATGGCAGTAAAAATAAAAGTTGA